GACACGGTAGGGTCGGGAAGGGGGGCAGGGCATGACGCTTAGCCTGGCGGGTGGCCAAGCAAAGCCTGGCGGGCTGCCAGGCTTACAAAGCATTGGGGGAAACCCTGTGTCATCTACACCTGAAACCCATTTATCATACATCAAACCAGACACTTTTCTCCACCCATTCCAACCTGCTTCACATGCTTCTTCACCTCATCTCCATTCTCTCTGCAGCTTTGGACTGTAGACCCATAGTCCTTAAAATCCTCTATACCCTATTTACTTCTATCCCTGTAACATCACAGTTCCACTTGTGTCCTTCTCATTTACACACATGGATTCTGTTTTGCTGTGACTACTCTTCATTACTTTTTCTAGTACATATCACCACCTCTTCAGCTTTTCCTCTACCTGCACCTTGCGCTCACTGCAGATCACTATGTAATCTGCAAACATCATAGTCCATGGATGCTCTTGTCTAACATCATCTGTCAGCTTGTCCATCACCAAAGCAAACAAGAAAGGGCTTAGAGCATGCTGTTTTTCCAAATCTACAAAGACACAATGTATCTCCCTATGACCTCTGTACTTCTCCATCAGCATCCTTAAACCAATAGCAGCATCGGGTTATTGTTTTTTGAACTTGTTGGGAACGCACTGGGAAATTCCTCCGGCACCTATTGTTTACGCCAGGGATCAGCTGTTGGCGATGCGGTTCCCGTCTCTCTTCTCCACAGAAAAGCCAATTCTGCTCCCAGAATTGAGGAGAAAATGTAGGGGCTGCAGAGCGGGAGGTAAGCTCCAGGAGAGGAAACGGAGATGCAAGCCATTTTTATTAAGGAAAATGTCCACTCTCTGCCCAGTAAGATTGACAAACTCAGTACTGACCAGGCTGCAGTGGGACTACACACTGTGTAGCCTGTTTTTTAGGGAAACGTGGATGAATGAGCTCATAGCTGACGTTGAGATTCCTCTGGAAGGGATAGATAGGGTCAGAGCAGTGAAGTCGACTAGTCGACTAGTCCATACAACCCCTAGTCCACAGTATCAAAAGCTAAACTGAGATCGAGCATCCCCAGCACAAATGTTTTGTCTGAATCCGTATTGACACAAATATAATTTAATTCCTTAATCAGTGCAGTCTCAGTGCTGTGGTGTTGTCTTAAGTCTGACTGAAAACCATCTAGGAGGTGTTTTGTCTCCAAAAAGTTGTTCAGCTGGATCATAACTGCTTTTTCAATAATTTTCTCGATGAAAGGGATATTAGAGATCGGTCTGTAATTATTCATCACTAAGGGATCTAATTTGTCTTTCTTTAGAAGAGGCTTAATAGCAGCAGTTTTCAGTTATTTAGGAAAAAAAACTTGACATTAGTAACAATTAACATTATTCAGTACATCAGCTTTTAAGCAACTAAAAGCATTTTTAAGGAAGTTAGTTGGTAGTAGGGCTGGGGGTAAACGATTATTTTTAAAACGATTATTCTGACGATTATTTTATGGAATAGTCGACTATTCTAATGACTATTTAGAAAATTAATCTAATGATTATTTTTCTATTGCACAATTAACAAAAACCAGAAAATCTCAAATAAATTCCTCAAAAAAATTGATAAATTCTTACTGTAAGAGAATAAACACTACAGGCCTTCCATTTTGTATAACACTGATTTTATTGTGATGCGGTTGGTTATGTTCTGGTGACGTGTAGAACTTGGGAGTGCAGGCTGCTGCCTGAGAGGTGGTAGAAGATGGAGTGTCTCCATGCTGCTTTGTTTTGGTCACTTATGTGCGTGAGGCGAGTGGTGTTATGACTCTTCCTGGGGAGTTTGGCTCGTGTGCAAAAAGGAAGGGACAATAACGGGATTTAAAAGTTAAAATGATGATCAGGTTTATTTACAACTACAAAAAATCATAAATCTTTCCATCCACAGGTTGGGAATAATAAAACTAATTCTGCCTGTGGGGAATTAAAACAAAGTACAAATAACTAGGAATGTCACAATGGGCAAAGATTACAGGGTTCTGGACCAAAATAAGGATCCCCAAAAGTCCAAACTCTAAACTGGGCGGTTAAACCAAACTCAAGGTGATATTTTAAACTAAACCGAAAACCCACAACACTCTAAATGTAATAAAAGGGAGATCTGCACCACAAAAAAGATGAACTCTAAACCAAAACGTAACAGCTTATCCAAACGCAAGAAGCTGTTAGCGAAAATGCTAACAGTAGCTTTACCAACATTAAGTTCAAGTTACCAAGTTTAAATAAACCAAAAACACCCAGCAGCAAACAGACCAGCACGGAGGAGAGACTGCTACCACCAAAACCGCTCTCCTCATGTCTGAAAGAAGCTCCTTAATGAAGGGAGAAACGCTCCCGGTGATGTTCTACATCTGCGGTAGAGACGAAGCAGCGCATCTGACCCCGGAAGTTGTTGTCCGTTGCCGGGAGACGAAGGCGGGCAACACAGGAAAATAATCTAGTAGTGGACGGACGTTGTTGCGGGTCTTCGGTATTTGGCGGAGATGTTAGTGAAGGCGGAGAAGATGGCGAACTAGAGGAAAAACGGGCAGATTCCTCCTCTATTTACAAACTCCTGGGGATGCAACAAGTGGGCGCGGTGCATCGACTTCCGGATCTGACGTCGACAAATTTTTAGAATCGAGCCGTCGACGTCGTCGAGGCTTCGCTACAGCCCTAGTTGGTAGATTGTCCAGACAGCAGGTGGAAGGATTTAAGGTCTTAAGTGTTTTAACACTAATCATACCAAAACGGGCATTCAAGCCAGATTGTTCCTGTGTTGCTATAGTAGTGGTCTGGTTGTGTTGGTTGACCTGTATAAATGAATGGCCAATCTGATGTTTATGCATAGAAAAAGGATGCAAACTCATTAGTTTGGGATAAGAAATTGGGGGCTAAATGTGTCGAAATATTAGTTGGCTTCTAATGTGGAATCTAGGCTTCTGAAATGATGACGGACGCCAGCGTCTTTAACTGGAACATTTAATGCTAATTTTTTTAATGTGAGCAACATCACAGCTTCATAACGTCATTTTCATATGTTAGTTCCAGGGTTAGTTCTCTACAACAACACAGGCATGGAAGAAGAATGCTTTTTCAGAAAGTTCCCTTCAAAATAAAACACTTGCACAAATACTATTTCAGTGCTAACAACAGGACTGTATTTCTATAGAAACTAAAGACTTAATGACAAATAAGTCACAACAGCCGCAAACTGAACATGATAATTGTTAAAATTGTTACTAATAGCTTTGGAGAACAAGGCTTGTCTTGCCTAAAACGGTTTGGAGTCCTCTGAGTCAGAAAGACGCTGTACAAGTGCAGGTCATCATTTATCATAACGAAAATGATTGATTGTTGAACCTGACGTTTGCTGATCTCAAGTCCTCCCAAAGCCAGCTGGAGGTCATCTTATCTGAGATTCCTGAAGGAGACACTTGACTCTCTGTGCTAAATCTCAACATCCAGTCCACATACATCTGGACTGGGATGAAGGACAGCTCAGCCACAGTCCTCTCAAAAACATTTGAAGGTTAAACATAAATATGACATTCAAAAATAGGTCAGTGCCTCCTTTCCTTTTCAACAAACAAGAGTAAACATTCCCAGAGAGCAAACTCATTGAGTCCCCCTTCCTGTTAAATGCCGAGACCACGTCTCTGGACTGCTCCACAGGCGCCATCCCAGAACAATATCAGTGGTGGCTGCAGAAAAAGATTCTTGTTGGAGCTTCTGACACATTTATAGTTAATTTGTAATTATTTTCTCCCTTTATGTCAGGGAGGGCAGCACCCCCTATGGATGGACTACCACTGATCAATACCTAGAAGCAATACTGAGGTGAGTTATCAACCATGATAACCACACAACTCCTAGAGTCTTTGGCATCTTCTCCTGCTGGAGTGTCTTCTGGCAAAGTAGTAGACTCTCCTTCCTCTGAGTCTTCAGAAGGGGCCATAGTGGTTGGACTAAGGAGATCCCGTGTGCTTCTTCCATCCACCTCCATTCTACACTGGGAAATAGTGATGGAGCTTTTTAATATTCCAAATTTTGCTTTTTACTTCACATCATCCCAAAAACAAACCAATCTGGTGTCATCCCACCCCCCTCGTGTTGAACATGCTTAATAAACTCTGACTGTGTGGATGTAAAGCTTTAAGTGTCTAGAAAATACAAATTTGCAGACATCAACAGCCCAGAGGCCAAACTTGAAACATCCTTTTGAATATTGAGTCGATTTGGAGTTATTTTACTCCGGATTGCAGCAGAATGAGACAAGAAAAGACAACGACCCGCTCAGACAGAAATGCTTCGACTAATGTTCTGCTCAGTAACATCAGATCATGCAGTGTGCCTACACAATTAAATATGGAGAGGCTCAACCTGCCTACCTGCAACAGAAAAAAACACAACCTACTGTATACCCAGGCGTTCAGGTCAAATTAATCGAAATCATACTTTTATTTATCATGTTTCTATATCAAGTTACAGTTTAATTTTGATTCACAGTTTAATTTTTATAAGGAAAAATATTCAATGTGCTACGTTAAATCATTCGAAACTGCAGTGTATTTTTCCTTTTTTCCCTGTCACTGCAATCAAACAAACTGGGATATCACGGAGTGAGACGAGGTGGAGGGGATTGGGAACGGGGAGGGGGGGTGCGGGTATGCCGTTTTGTTGACGGTGCCGTAACAATTTTTTTTAGCAGTTACTTCCACACCACTTCTTTCATTATGCTGATCTGTGAAGTGGAACGTAACGCTGTCGGAGTTGAGAGGTCACGGGCTCCTGCTGCCTAGAAACATTCAGTCTAATATTAGAACATTTCCTTGATTTGTTAGCAGCATCTCTGCTGACTGCTGAGTACATGGCAACAGGGCGACCAATAGGATTTCAGGAGACGACTAAGCCCCTCGCTCTGTATAGCAACAGTGGCATCCTCTCTTTATTTATTTATATAGGAGTTTTTTTTTCCCACTGCCTCATTCTCATGCCTCTGTCCCCCAACAGTGCGCTCAAACTGTGAAAAAGTGTTGCGGCGTGAAGAGCAGCGTTGCTCTGGTGCTAGACCAGTGCTGCTTTTGCTTTTCTTTTTCCTGCATCAGCTCATAAATAGCTTTTATAGATTTTTATAGTCATATGTGTTTTTTCCTTTTTCTTTCTTGAATGCAACTTACAGATCAGAGGAGTTTTTTCAGTATGCTGCGTGTAGAAGTAGAAAAGTGGGTAATGACATGGAAAAGGCTTCATTTTTCAAGAGGACGTGACTTGCATCTGTGAAGAGGAGAGGAAAAATCTGGAGGAATGACAGCGTGGGAAAAAGGTGCCACTTCAAGGGGGACAGAGAACACCCAAGAGGAGAGGATGCAAAGAAGATGGAGAATGCAGGAGGAGAGCCTATACAGGATAGGAGGAGGAGCGGGAGGTGGCGGGGGGTGGAGGGACACAGAATGGCGTGAGGACATAGGCCAGTGGTTGGTTTGATTGGAGCCACGTGTGCGTCCAGCAACGTCTCTCCGTCGTTTCATGGATGTCGACGAGACGCTGGCTTCCCATGCTACCCGGTCCCTTCTTCTCTTGGCCCAGGTAGGTGCGTACTGTCCTGTGCACACAAGTTTCTGATGCCATTTCATTTTCAGGTTGGTTGGAAGATGACTGTACCAAAAGTTGCCAATTTGAAAGTTTTCTGCACGTTCAACCTACATATGGGTTCGTCAGTCGAAGCCTAGTTACAGGAGGATGGGAGGCTTGAAGACGTTGGGAAAATATGGCGTACATCAGCTGTCCCGTTATCGGTTTGGGATGCGACACGACTAATAAGACTGTCCCAAAGACTAAAAACTCTATAATCGTACATTAAAATAGGGATACAGAATCGATGTGTTTGGAAGCAAATAAAGTCAATATTTTCAGCAAAGTATTGATGAGTATTAAAGACTTTTAAATTTAATATTTAAATCCTTAAGAATCTGAGTTAATCAAATACCTTTTAAATTGTTGCCACTATTTTGTCTGGACTGTCATCCCAACACATCAATGGTTTTCCTTATGTATAAGAAGTGTGAAAAAATATGAACATATCGGTAAACAAGTTCACGTAGATTAAGTGTTGCTGGAAAGCGACCCAGCTGCGTTTATCCAAATGAGGACGCATGTGTGAAATGTTGAGAAAACTAGTTTATCTGGTAATTTGACTTCTGTGACGCTAGATAAAATCACCAACTGCGCCATTCATCGTCTCGACACAAACCCAACGCATCAACCAACATCAGTCCATGATGACTTAAAGGCTGCGCACCATTGGAACTATTTCTAAATGGACGCCATTTTCAACGCTTTGGGTTTTGATCATGGTGAAATGTCTGTTTAGGATTTAGGATATTTCCACAAGCCTATTCTTTTGTTTTGTTAAAACAAACCAACTGATCCTAAGGGATCGAAATTAGACAACTAAATTTTAAAAGGCTGGTTTTAATCAGTGACAGGCTTTTAAAGTTTCTAACGACACTAGTAACCAGCATCTGATGCTGAAAATAGGTAATTTTAGATTAAGTCTAGGAAAATCAGGCAGTTATGATACATTTTTTGCATTTTTTAATTGCATTTTCAATGACATCTGCTATGATTAACTGTTAGTTTTAAATATTTTGTTAATAATTACACAGTTATGTTCATTTTGTTTTATCTTGTAGATCAAATAAATGAAATCTAGATGGATTCCTTCAGTAGGAGCTTACAGACCTTACAGCAGAATAACCGCTGACTAATCCACCGCCTGGGACAGGAAGAGGATTTAGCTGCAGCTCCTCATTATTCTGCATCACGTAAAGGACTTCATGATATAATACACAACATTTAGCTTATCTATAGGTCCTATCTATAGGAGTGCATCTTATAGAACAAAATCTGTGGAAAAAATCCCAAAGGGCAACAGTCTCTTAATCCCTGTTCCTGTGGATTTTTGTCATTTAATTTCAAGTGTGACAAAAGACTACAAAAAGAAAAGCTTCTGATTTATTTACTGTTAATTTTTTTTCTTTTTGAGAAGAAAAAGTCTAAGAAATTATTCACTTATTTGATTTAAGGTATCTCGGTATTTTATTTTGCACTCATTTATCAACACAGGTAGAAATTTATTTTAATAAGACAAATCTTTCACATTTTCTATCAAAAATATCACAATGAAGTGTGAAAAATTCCAAGTAATGCTTCAAGAATAATTTTTTATACAACAGATTTTATAGTTATTTTTAGTAACCTGAGATCAAAGTACTTCAAAAAATATTGTATAAAATTCCCCAGACAAATCAAAGCCTACATTTATGTTCTTTTCTATTGAGTGGGCCTAATAAAGACCACATAAGAAATATAAATCTATCTTGCTGATGTTTTGTTGCGTAATTATTTAGAATAAAGAATGCCAGAAATTACAGCTAAAATCATAGGTCTGCACTGTTCTGGATGAAAATGATAGATATTTGTTTTATCTGATACTGCTATTCATTTGAATAGACATGTTAAGACTTAATTTTGCAGGAGAATACACCAGAATAAAAATATTAATATAAATAAGAAACAGAACAGCTACTTTTTGCTTCTGCAAAGGCCAGCATTTTTAGTAATGGTGCAAATGTTATCGTCAATACGTTTTAGATAGATAGATAGATAGATAGATAGATAGATAGATAGATAGATAGATAGATAGATAGATAGATGGATGGATGGATAGGTAGATGGATGGATGGATGGATGGATAGGTAGATAGGTAGATAGAGGAGATAGCGCCAAATGCTTCATGTTAAACAAATGTTGGACAAAGATTTTTGCTGCAGTGCTTTTTTAAAAATCTATTTGTGAAGAGTGATATTTGACACAAATCTTCCTTTTTCCATTTTCCTTTGGCTTATATATCACTCAAGATTTTTTAAAGGTCTTGTTTACTGAGCAGTAGCACTTTTCTTTTTGAAAGATGATTGCTCACTTGGAGTTGCATGTGGAAGCTGAACGTCAAAATCTTCTTCAGCCATCATCTGCATTAGAAAAAAACCAGAAAGAAAATAATCTATTTTTATAGCGCCTCTCAAGATAAAATTCACGAGGCACTAACCCTAACCCACAAGAACAAATATAAGAGAAAAAAAGATAGTTATTAAAAATGTAAGGACGGGGGAAATCGGTGGATCCCCAGAAAGGCGGAATTAGTAGACAGAGCAGAATAAGGAGAGAGTGGTGATGAAGGTCACGCAAAAGCCAGCCTGAACAGGTGAGTCTTCAGCTGCTTTTTAAAGGAGACCACTGAGTCCACTGATCTCAGGCTCAGGGGGAGAGAGGTCCAGAGTCTGGAGGCCACTGCAGCAAATGATCTGTCACCTTTGGTCTTTAGCCTGGTGCACTGCAGGGCTAGGTAGAATAACCTGGTAGAGTGTCTGAATGGGACTTTTGGTTAAATCACAGTTACTGCTTGTAACTCGGTAGGTAATTATATCGGCAAACGTAGCCCCAAAACAACCTGCATTTGTAAAATTGGAAGAGTTGCTGGTGAATTGAGGGAAAAGAAAATAAACAGTGTTTATGTTGTTTTAAACCCGTTGTTACTAAACTCCCAACACCGAGAAATGCAGCATTAATCCCCCAACAACATAATTCACAGTGCTTGTCTCACAGAGCACTGTAAAAAAGGGTGCTTGTTCTAGTCATTAAATACCCCCTTTTACATCACACTGCCACTCTCCCTGTCCTCCAAATGGATTCAGTAATGGTGCACTTTGACTGAATAAAACGTTTAATGTTATTAATGTACATGAATGCTTTTTGTTAATAATCAATGACTTCACTCAGTGCTGAAACGCTCGTGATATGCTGACATCTTTTCCAAGTGGTTCTGAAACATCTAAATTTGTATGGAGATACAAAAGCTGAGAAGACCGAGACATCTTATCTCCTGGTCAATTCCCCCATCCCAGAATTTTCCCAGAACTCCTATAGTGGAAACATGGTTATGGACCCTCCCACCTTGGCTTGCAACCTTGGAAGGATATGTTGATTTGTGGCCAGGAGAGGGCAGAGTTGGCTAGTAGAAGCTAATCATTAGCAACACTACAACAATGGGGGAACATGTTCTGGATAAGATTATCCATGGAAATAAAACTTCAACTTTACTTTTTTTTTTTACCCAAGAAAGAAAAGCGAAGGAAGGCAGCAGAAGAGTTGCATTGTTAGCCAATTAGCATATCATGATTAATAAGATGTATGACTTTTTGCAATCCTGCTCCCCGAATCCTAAAAACCTCTATACCCTGAAACTGGAGCGCCAGAGCTTTGTTCCACAGAAAATCCCTCACAAAGCATTGATTCATGTTAGACCACCCAAAAATAAAAGAGTGAATGAGACATTTGAACAAAACTTAACTTAAAATATGTTTTTGTTGTACATTAAATAATTAAAATATTACAGCATGACACTTTTATTATATGGGCACAAAGGATGTTTAACCTCCTGAGACTCAAATTTGCATTTGGTGATTTAAAAGAAAAAATCTGTTCTAGCTGTGACAGATTAGTCGACACGCTTAAACCTGTACAAAATATTACTTCGTTAAAAGAAACATTTTTATTCGGTTTCATAGAAGCCATCTATGTTTATGTTTATGTTTATTCATTTCGCAGATGCTTTTATCCAAAGCGACTTACAATTATTAACCTATAGGGCATGTTGTGATCTGTGGGGAAACCGGAGTACCCGGAGAAAACCCACGCATGCATGGGGAGAACACGCAACTCCACGCAGAAAGGCCGCAGCCGAGTTTTGAGCCTGCGACCTTCGTGCTGCCAGGCAACAGTGCTAACCACCATGCAGCCTCTAGCTCAACAACAAGCATCACATTTGGATCATCTGTGAATGTACTGATCCTCTCCTTTCTATGAATCTCTTTAGGTGAATGGCAGTGAAGCAGAAAACCACTTGAGTCCAAAAGAGTGGACATAAAGGAGAAAGAACGTAGGATTTATAGGCGATGTCATCGCCGAGCTGTATGAGTTTAAAACGATGGTTCAACCTAAAGAATATGCTTTACGTGGACAACACGGGGCAGCCATGATCGCTACACCTTATCCATCTCTGTCCTCCGCCATGATGTTGACTGCAAGCTGATAGTATGTGAAACAATGCGGCCCAATAATCTGCTTCACCCACAATAAACGCAAGTCGGACTATTCAGTCAACGTTGTGAAAATGGCAGCTGAAGGATTCCAGCCCTGGACAGAAGAGGATCTCAAACCAGGAGATCTACCAACATCACTGCTAGCATCACTTCACCTTGGTAACGAGGAAATGGTCATGGATGAGAACGCTGCAAACACAGAGGATAATCCTGAGTCTAGTCCCGAGATGATGTCATCATCTCTTAACAAATCACAGCAGCAGCATCCTCCTGCTCCACCAGCACACCAAGGTAAGTAGCTTTATAGATATCTATATGATTTTATAAAACAACAGAAATATTCTTCTAGTTAGCACATCAGTAAGAAAGCCTTGGAGAATAACAAAAGGAAGATAAAAACATCACACTCCAGAGTGGGGAGAGTCATTTACAGTAAGGGCATCTTTAATATAAAACAGACTAGGGGTCATCATAAAAAAATTACAATTATAAAATAATAATTTATTATGTAATTATAAAGATCTTTGATATTCTCTACAAACAGATAACCAAGTTTTAAAACTGATTTGCAAAATGGATCAGCAAATCCCAGTGAGGAACCAGCAGATGGCAGCGTATCTACCGGTACTGTCATTAACCAAAGGCAAGAAGATTATTAAGAAAATGTGGTTTTCCAGATTTGGTTTATATCAGAGATTGGTCTGGCAGAAATACAACATGTCATCTTTAGAACATCGCTTCATAAAACAGCTTTTCGGAGACTGCCATAACTTTTTTCAGCCTATTAGTTCTGAGATGACCGCAATCTAATAAAGTTTTGTCAGATTAGCCAAAACTAGGGATGCTCGATATTGTCTTTTTGATTGATATCCGAATTACTGATATTGTCAACTTTTAATTTCGATACTGATATAAGCCGATACCAATATTTGCTGTGCCCCCCTCTCATAAAAAAAAAAGAAAAAGTAAAACATTTAAGGTTACTAACATCCTATTATCTTCCATCATGCTTACATTTTAAACGTGCAAAATGACAGCTTCTTCAATATAAGTTAGTAATAGAAAAAGTGCCATACTTGGTTTGTCTCAGACAGCAGCTGAATCTCATTCTCCCTAAGCATGACGCTAAGATGTGTGTATAATATATTCTTACATTAGAGACAGCAGCAGCTCAGGAGGTAGAGCTTCAGAGTTTCATGTATAATATGTATATTGTATGTAAAAGTTGTGTCATTAAAAGACTGGAAACCAATACAGATATTTTCCAGTATTAGCTTTTATTGTCAATATCGGCTGATATTAGAGGTAGGCTGATAATATTACACATCTCTAGTCAGAACCTTTCTCTAGCTCAGGAGAGGGTTTTACTGTTTATTCAGAATTTATTTGAAATCGCATAATTAGAATAGAATAGAATAGAATTCAACTTTATTGTCATTGCACATGTCACAGGTACAAGGCAACGAAATGCAGTTTGCATCCATCCAGAAGTGCTTTAGCAATTGTACAGAATGTTTATTTACACAGAATTATACAGTAGTGCAGTAAAGATCAGTGAGTTATGTGAATAATTTCTACAGGTGTGGGACATTTGACCCAAGAAACACAATTGAAAATGGATGAAAAAGCACTGGATAGTCTTGCAATATAGTATGGAATAGATTGGTAGAACTAGTTTTCACTATTTGTTTTCTGTGCAACAGATTAAAAAGAAACGCTAAAATCAGTAAACCAGGCCACATCCACCTATTTAACTTCCATTTTTGACTAAACTACCAGAAATGGGAGTCTGCAGGTGAAAATGAAAGATTTCCGGGCAACTCACTAATTTTCTTGTCTCGTCAGTATGACAGTCCCAAGAAAACTAAATGAAGCTGGTATCCTAGAAGGTCAATGGCTTTTATTTGTTCAGTTACATTAAAATGTATTATATGCTGATCATATTTAGCTTTAAATGCAGGACAAGTTTTGACAGAGCTTTGCTGTTTGAATGCTTGGGGTTATAAATTTGTCCCTTTCTTATATTACAACAGCATAAGTGTAATTCCTCTTGCATACGGCTCTGTCTGCAGCAGCAATTTAAAACATCTCCAGGCATGTCTTCACAAGTGCTGACGGGATGACTTATGTCAACTGTTAGCAGCACTCCTCACTACATGCATGCATCAGCACGCGTGTGCATGTTTACATTCTGCTAGATTCAAACAATCTGCACATGAAATCAAAAGAAAGTTTACGGGTTTCAATTATTATTATTATTATTTTGCAACTATTTAAAAAAATGCAAACAGGAGCTCATCAGCTCTTTTTCTCTAGGCTGACACCTCGATGTGGACAGCTGTTGTTTGTTAAGCGAGGCAAGGCGAGGTCAAGTGTTAAACTGGACCCAGACTGGTCGAGAGTGCCTGAGCACTGAGGAGTGCCAGTTCTGGTATTTTAGGCAGCTAGACAGTGTCACCTGTCAGCACACTAGTCTGGACAGAGTTTTCCACGAGCTGCAAGACTAAGCAACGCAACGATATCTTCTCTGGTCCTGTCAGAAGGCCAGCCGTGTGTGTTTGCTGACAGTCTCAAAGTGCAGACCGTCGTGAAGTCACTCTGTGGCTAACGCTGAGTTGTTGTATGGTTGGTGTTTCAGAGTTCCTGGAAACTGAAAAGAGCCAAAACGACAGCGAGGTGCAGTCTCACACCAGGACACCGATCTCAAAGGGGATCTCCTCCCATGTTGATCAGGATAATGTGCATCCCAGCCTGAGAAGACGCATCAGCAAAGAAGGAGGTACCCCATCATCATCTTTATGTTTGCTAAAAAAAACATTTGGTTAACACTTTTGTTCCTAGTTAAGGTCATTAGGGTTGTTTGTGTGATACAAAAGTAGAAGCATGATTTGGCTCTTTTTGACCTAATCTACAGTTTAAAAAAATGTGAACTTTACAAATGCACTGCTTTAGTAAGTTAATGTATGTTGGATGTTACGATAAGTTTTGTGAGTTTTAGTAAAATAAAAGGAGAATTTTAAAATGTGAATTTTATTTCTCAAATAAAGCCATTTCAGCAAAACCGATGAGCAAAGGGTTGAAACTAAACAAGGAAATTAGGCTTTTATTTTCATTTAAACAATAATTCTCATCTTTATGGCATTTTAATTAATGAAACCATAATTTGCGGTGCTTTTTGTGGTCAGATACTCAACTGGAGGGGAACGCATCCAAAGCTATGGCAGCCTTTGGCAGTAGTGCTGACTATCAGCTGGTGGAAGCAGAGTGGTACTGGGCCAACATCTCAAGGTATCACCATCAGCAGCAAAGAAACAATAACTAATCAGATTATTTCCATTATTTATTTGGAAAGCAAATTTGATGATCAAGAAAAAATACGTCTTACTTATTAAGTATGATTAATACGAGTTTACAAATGTCTGTGTTTTGGTCAATTTCAGGGATTGTCTTTCATATTACTGTAACGTTTGTATATAAAATCATCCTGTTAAATGTGTCTTTTTTCAGTAAACTCACAAACTGTAGAACTCTTTTAGTAATTCTCAAAGTTTACTGCACTAGACTTGCAAATATCTAATTATAACTGTGCATGCTTTGTTTTAACATTTTACGTCCTTTTGTATTGTGTAGAGAGGAAGTGAATGAGATCATGAGAAACATGCCTGATGGCACGTTTCTGGTCAGAGATGCTTCCAGCAGGACTAATGGGGAATACACTCTGACACTTCGGTAACTACGCTTTTTATCCTTTGAAATGTTTGGATTTGGGAAAGCATCAAACACAAGGTTCTTTAATGTCTTAAACCCTTTGATGCATGAATTATGAAATCTTCAACCATGATTTTTTAAACAATTTTTTTCATTCATCTTTAGGTGTGAATGAAACAAATTTCAACAAATATTTTTGTAACATTTTGTTAATTTACAAATAATTTATTACATGTCCTTCTCAGTGGACAGCGTGCATTCTGAACATGAAATATGTTGGCTTGGCTTACTGAAGCTCAAATGGAGGGGCTCACATGCAATAAAGTCTTCAACAGCTGTGCTTAATAGCAAAAATAAATAAATAACAATTTTGAGTACCTGTCCACTTTAGTGACCATTATGCATCAAAGGGTTAAAAAGGGTTTGTGATATGTGCAAACAGCTTTTTCCTGAGTTCAGTACATAAAACCGTCTCTTCAGGCATTTCCAGTAGAACCAGAACATTTCAGCTATGAAGCTTTACTTAAATCAGACTCGAGTAGTCGGCAACATAACTCCCCGTTTACTAAACTCGTGTGTTTTCAATCATCTAACAAACATTTTTCTGAGAAAGCAGAAGTTAGAGTAAACTGCCTTGATTAGTTAATATAACTGAAATTTGACTTCTGCTTTCTGTGCACAACTGTAACCTAGGGCTGTGTGTTTCATGGTTGAATTGATATTCATCCAGTTTTCTGTTCTAAGTCAACAACCCACTTACTGGGCTGGGAGAGTTAAAACCGTCCTGTCTGAAAGTGCTGAAGAACACTGAGCAGATTCAAAATAGCCTGGAACGGGAGCCAAAGCCCAGCAGCTCCAGTTAGAGCTGATGAAGGAAAACAGTTTAACAACAGTCTTTTTTTCTGACCTTTACAGTAAAGATGGCTACAACAGGCTAATTAAAATCTTCCATTATGGAGGAAAGTGCGGCTTTTCAGAGCCACTGACCTTCCCCTCTGTGGTGGACCTGATCCAGTTTTACCAGAAGAGATCACTGGCCCAGTACAACTCTAAACTGGACACACGGCTACTCTACCCAGTATCCAGATACCGGCAGGTGGGTTTCTGATGAAAGCGTTTGCTTTCACTGATCACAATCAACGACTCTAGTGAGAATTTGAGATGAATTTGATCACGTTGGCGTTCTATTTCTTCTCTGTGTGGCAGCAAGCTGGGATGGAAGTGGACATTGATGCAGTTGGAGAACAGCTGAGGATATTTCAAGATCAATATAAGGAAAAGAGCCAAGAGTATGATCGCCTGTTTGAGGAGCTGAACCAAACCTCCCAGGTGATCATTCACACTGATGTTACCATTTACCATTTACCAAACATAGACAGACATTTTTATTTACCAGTTTTGGTTTTCCATTGGCAAAAGCAACACTCCTGTCGTAAACTGCATCTTTGATTACTAAAACTTAGATATAAAGGCAAATGTTTTATTTGTATTCTTTACAGGAACTCCAAAGCAAGCGAACTGCTATTGAGGCTTTTAGTGAAATCATTCGAATCTTTGAAGAGGAGTGTGAAACTCAAGAGCGCTACAGCAAGGAATACATAGACATGTTCCTGACATTAGACAGCGGCACAAAAACAGACAAGTGTGTGTCAAAGATCAACATATTTATAACAAGCATCGTTATACATTCCCCAAATGTTTCATTTATGTTGCTGCTTTACCAACAGGATTCAAAGCAACTCCGATGAACTGCAGTCGACGGTGGAAGAGATCCACCACAGCAAGAAGGTGTTGGAGGAAGAGCTAAAGTCAAAGGCACTGGCTCACATGGAGGTGGACATGAAAATGAACAGCCTGAAGCCTGACCTGGTGCAGCTCAGGAAGATCAGAGATCAGTACCTTCTGTAAGTATCTGCACCAAAACAAAGACTCGCTGTTGCATTACATTGATCTCATGTTCAGAACAAAACACACACATCTGGAGAAAGCTGTGTCTAAATTTAGCTTCTGAGAGTAAAATATGAGAAAGACCCATTATGATGATGAAATTGGATGGAAACAGTGTTCCCTCGCCTGGACACGAGTCACCGGGGCAACCCTCTGGAGCCAGGTGGTCGGCTTTTACGCAAGGAGCCTGGCCAGGAACAGCCCAAAGAGGAGCTGTGAGAGGGTAGCCTCCCTCCACCTACGTGTGGAGGCACGGGTCCTGACTGTTGTTTGTACTTAAGCAACAAACAGCATGTCTGATTACCCACCCTTTTTGGAGTCCTTGGAGGGAGTGCTGGAGAGCACTGGAGGCTGTTTTTCTGGGAAGCGGTATTTCCTGGACATGCTTTGATTGGATGAATGAGAGCTGTCTGTGAGGCCCCCCGCCCTCCACTTATAAGCGGCCATGTCACTGTCGTTCCTCAGTTTGATAGCCGCTCTTCACCGAGCTGGGCTTTGAAATGGGGCAGCCCTGTGTTGTACCTCGTTCCTCTCCTTCAGGGAACAGTGGTTATATGCATAACCTAACGTTCCCTTTCAGTCGATTCACTCGGTACAACGAAGGTACTATGGGACTTATCGAAACGCCCCATGAGCAGCTATCAAACCTGGGCTGAGATTGCAACCTAAGATGGCAGGTCAGATCCAGCAGAGAGAACTGCACGGGCCACCGAAGGGGCCAAAACATCCAAGCGGTAAAACCTCACAAAGGTGTGGGGTGTAGTCCAGCTTGCAGCTGAGCAAATGTCACCAACTGAAAAACCTTTAAACAGCGCCCAAGAAGCAGCCACACCTCTAGTAGAGCGTGCCCTGACCCCTAGGGGCAGCTGGGAGCCAGTGACGCTGTAACACAGGGGAATGGCCTCCACAATCCAATGAGAAAGTCTTTGCTTTGACAAAGCTTTACCCATGGAGGGTTTGGTAAAACACACAAACAGTTGGTCTGTTATTCTGATACTCCGAGTGTGATCTATATAAGCCTGCAGAGCACGACCCGGGCACAGACATTGCAGTCTCCACTGCTCCTCAGAGGCAAAAGGAGGACTATTGAAGCCTGAAAGCTCTATGGTCATGGAACCATACTTGAGCGGGATGACCTTAGGCAAATATGCAGCATTTGGATGCAGAGTGGCCCTAGCTCCATCTGATGACATTTTCAGACAGAAAGGGTGAACTGAAAGAGCATGAAGGTCTCCCACCCCTTTAGCCGATACAAGGGCTAAGAGCAGAGCTGTCTTATAAGACAGAAGCTTCATACTGATCGAGTGGAGCATGCTCTTGAGCTCTGAATAGTATTCACCACAGCTGGGGGAAGACCTTTAGCTAACAGGTTGGGCCTTTCAGTAGGTAGGCTTGCAGCTTCGACAGATGGGGGCGCGGGTGTAGCACTTCCCCTTGTGTCTGTGACAGAAGGTCCTGTCAAGTGAAAAAAGCCAAAAACAGATTTGAATTTTTTACATTTATTACTGAACAGCAGAGGTGGAAAAAGCACTAAAATGTTGTACTTAAGTACAAGTATAATTACTTTCATGAAATTTTACTCAATTACAAGTAAAATTACCTGCCTCAAAATGTACTCAAGTAAAAGTAAAAAGTAGCTTATTTCAAATGTAGTCAGAGTAAAAGTTACTTAGTTACTTTTTTGACTGTGCAAGGACGGGCTCTTATGAATAGTTAAAAAAAGACAGTGGGGTATAAATGTCAAAGTGGCCGTTTTTTTATTAAATGAACAAATATGCATATTGAAGTACAAAGGCAGTTACACTGCAAACTAGTAACATAAATTAGGTTATAGTCACAAGCCCATGACTTTTCCCTGAATGACATCCCCCCGGCAGATCCTGATAGGCCTACCCAGTATCTGAGCCTCTCCAGTAGCAGGTGATGGTCAACAGTGTAGAAGAGCTGTTTCAGTAGAATGAGCTCTATGAAAACCTGACTGGAAGCTATCATAGATGTTATGTTCATCAAGAGCAGCTGTGAGTTGTTTAGCCACAACCTTTTCCAAGATCTTGGAGATGAACAGAAGTTTGGAGATGGGTCTGAAGCTGCTATGGAGAGAGGGGTCAAGACTCGATTTTTTAAGAAGCGGGTGGATTACAGCGTTCTTAAAGTAAGCAGGGACCTGACCAGAGACCAGAGAAGCATTAATAATGGAGAGCACGCTGGGACTGATGGACTGAAAAGCACTTTTAAACAAAGATGAGGGTAAGATGTGATGACTGTTGCTTGACTTGCTCCGCCCCAGCCTCTGCCATCTGGTCAAGGTGTCTTCTCATATTGATCAAACCTGTTGAATGACAAATACATAACACATATTTAATATATCTGGCAATTAAGTTTTGTTTGAAGATGCAACAAGAATTGTTTTTAGTAATACATGCCTTACAAATACTATAATTTGTGTCGACAGACTTGTATAATTGAACTTTAAGTATGTTGACAGGACTGAAATGAATAAGAAACAGATTTAGGTATGATATTAAATTATAAAATATTACCTGCTTCAATGATATCGTGCCTCTCAGTCCAGGTGGTCTTGAACTTTGGAAGAAGGATTGCAGCAGCAGTCAGCTCAGGGTCTTCCATCATCTCACCAAAGTGCTTTTGGACACCATCCTGAATGGCTCTGAAGAGTGGCAGACACATCTTGGAGACAGTCTCCAGTCTGCTGAGTTTTTCTTTTAGCTGGAAGATCACTTGAGGGGCGGGACTAGGAAGCTCAAAAATGACCAATTAGAAAGAAGAAGGAAATCCTGACTGTACCACACGACGCAGTAGATTTCTAGTTGTAGTAAAAAATAATAGCATCTGGCAATGGCGCAAACATCTTTTATTTTTTAGAAGAAATGCTTTTAGTGCTTCTACTTGTGGTTTTAAAGACATCTGTGTCATTTAGAACAGAGGAAAGAGCCGCAGCGAACTCCGCCGCTGTCTTCGTTGTTTATGAGAAATTGAGCATCGCCGTGTATGGCGTGAATTAAACAGGAGGAGTCTGGCAGGCCAGGCTGTCTTTCTCGTACCATTAGCGCCTATTTTCTTCTCCTACCCACCATTCATTGCACTGTAAGGTCACTGAACACATGCTTCACACTAAGAAGTTCAGCTCACCTGTTGACCGCTCAGACATCCCTTCATTCCTTCTCACAAGCTTTGATCTTCTTAGGTGATCCTCCAGCCATCCAAGTAGTTAGTTAGTGTTTCTTATCCTTTCCTTCGTACCCCGTAACACTCTCGTAACTTAAGCACTCAGTTCTTCTGGTGCGCGCCTTCAGCGTCCGCAGCACTTCCGTGTTTGGGTCTTACAGATATATTTACATAGACACTTCGTTAAGTGCTGGATCACTCTCGAGTGCGTTAAGACGCTTCTACATATGTATATGTTTATACTCTCGTCTCTCTTCTCTGTGGTGTCTGAATCATCGTCTGAATCCAGTGCGAACCGTGCCGACACAGTATTTTGCAATGTTGTTTTTTTTACTCGGTAACGGATAAGATAAAAAATGTAGCGAAGTACAATACTTACAAAAAACAATACTTAAGTAAAAGTAAAATTACAGATTTTAAAAACTACTTAAAAAGTATAAATGCGCAAAAAATCTGCTCAATTACAGTAACGCAAGTAAATGTAATTCGTTACTTTCCACCTCTGCTGAACAGGAACTGTAAAATTACTGGGCGAACAATTTGGAATGAACAATTTAAACTTTGAACTGTAATGCATCTATTCTTAAAAAATTGTGAACCTTGGTGTCTTTTTTAGCAGTTTTTAAGACCATTTATTTTTGTAAAGTTTCAGACGTTTTTATTTGATGTGGTAGACCTTGAAGCAGTTTCTCTCCAGCTGCAGGCAGAGTCCTGCACACCTCACACGGCCATGGGGTGCTTCTCTGGCACTCCGTGCTGCTATACCAAAAACTTTTGTTTGAGCAAAAATAATTATTTATTGTAAAAAAAATGCTGGAATGAAGCTGAATCTTACAATTAGCAAATAGTTGAGGGTTGTTAAAAAAAATACTGAACAAGCATTCATACAGGGTCACTGGAGATCTGTCCTTCTTCGTGGTCACTGTCTTCAGATATAAGCCTTCTGGGACACCTAATAGATCGTGTTGATTTTCTTTGAGGCATTTCCATCATTTCATGCCAGCTTTTCATGCTAATTAGCTTCCCCGTTCCGTTATCTGCTTTCACCGCGGCGCTATGCTCCGCTGTGCTCCGTTTCAATCAGGCTGTACAGCAGGATTTCCCCTCGTAGCGATATTTTCCGTAACTCTGATTGCTTCATGCTATAGATCGTTGGAAAGTTGTTTTATGTACTTTTAGGAACCACTAGAATTTTTAAAATCTGATTAGCCATTCAAAAGTTATAAAACGGAGCATTTTGGATGACAAACTCAGCACATCTCTGAATCTGTGTTGTGATTTGTTGCGCTAATGATATCTTGAACGGTTCAGGAATTATGGTAATGAGAAGTGCGCATGTCCAAAACGTCGGCGGCAACAGGTTGGTAATAAGAATATTGTGGCATTAACAGAGGGGTGTCAGCGGTCAGGGCTAGGAGGCCCCCCAACACAAGGGGGCCCCAGGCGGCCGCCGACCTATGCCTAAAAACCGCCACTGCTCAGCTCTAAATAATCCCCAGAGAGTCCACATAGATAATGTAATATAAGTAGAACCAGGATAGTTTCGGACTCCCCCTGGGTGCGTTGAGGGTTTCCAGGAGCTCCCTAGCTCACCCGTAAATCGAATCCTGCGTATGGCACAAGTTTGTCGCGTGAGTTGCCGGATCCCAGCAGACAGTTGCTGGAACGGTCCTTTCAAAATAAGAAAATTCCTGGATCTTGTTCCGGCAAGATCCGGCTCAAATTAAGCCCTGCAGAGAAGTCGGTGGTGCCCTCGAGTTAGTAAACAAAAGCGGCCATGAGCAGTGGAAATGGAATTGGAAGAGCAACACACAATGAGCTTAACAAAGATGGCTGGAAACATTCATTCATTCATTGTCCATCCATGACGTCTCTTTACTCTGTCTGCATGTCACTTGACCATATTGTATCCTTAACCTCGGTGCACCACAGGTGTGTTAAGAGACCTCCATCAGAAAGAAACCATCTCAGATGAGATCAGATTTGAAGTTTGCAAACAATCCATGAGATGCTGTAGCACAGCTGAGTTTTAAAGATAGGCAGAGCGATCAGCTGCTCATTTCAAAATCTTCCCACAGCTGCTACTCCCCAATTTATTTGGTGTTGACTGGGAATTTCTCACTTTTCCTCAGGAGTTCCAAGTGTGGGAGAGGATTTATTCATTAGTAGTTACTCACAAAATCAGCTCTGTTGCACTGCTGACCCACGTTTTCATAAATCTCTGGCACAATCTTGTTTGTCTTTTTGTTTAAATAAACATGTGAGCTGTGATTTGCTCACGTTTCAGATGGCTGACCCAGCAAGGCACGAGGCAGAGCCAGATTAAAGACTGGCTGGGTATCAGGGATGATGAGGAAGAGTGAGTACCTTTGTCTTCTATTCCAAGAAGAAGAAAACTAGAAAAGACAATAATTCTTGTGTTAGTATTCAATCTGCTCCGGTAATCATAGGATTCTGATGGTCAGATGATTCATAGCTGTGTGTTCCTACAAGATGTGTGTGAGTATTAAATATTTTTCTGTCTGCACACAAGCCCGTACACCCTGGAAGACGACACACACCAGGAGGAGAGGACCTGGTATGTTGGTGGTATGAGACGAAAAGAGGCAGAGGAGCTGCTGAAAGGACGGAGGGATGGGACATTCCTCATCAGAGACAGCCAGACACAGAGAGGGTCATTTGCCTGCTCTGTTGTGTGAGTAGCGCCACCACGGGATGATAAGTACTTATATGTGGCGGGTTTTACAAAGTGAGTGGTTTCCCCTGCTTCAGGGTGGACGGGGACGTGAAACACTGTGTGATCTACAGGACATCCACAGGGTACGGCTTCGCTGAGCCCTACAACCTGTACTCGTCGCTCAGGGAGCTCGTCCTCCACTACCGCCACACGTCGCTGATCCAGCACAACCAGCAGCTGAATGTAACCCTGGCCTGGCCTGCTCTCAGCCAGCAGTCCAGCTGAGACATACCAGCACACCACACGGATTCCCAAAGTCTCCCAGCATTAGCACAGAGTACACACCCACATGAACACAGTTATCAGGCCGAAACAGAGTTCTGGTTAGTATTTTAGTACAAATCTCTGCATCTATTTCCACATTATGAGGTTCTCACAGCAAATATGAGATTCACTGAGCAGCAGCGGTGGTCATTCAGCTGATTTACTGCTTTTAGGGATGCTTTGAGACTACATCATCATGCTAACTTTAAATATTGATGCTCTTTGTTTAAAAAAAAGGCTTAAAAATGACTTCCTATGAAACATATCAAACAAATCCTGGATTTTACAAAACAATGCTTTTCTGGCTGAGGAGGGCTGATTTATCCATATTCAGCACAAAGTCTATTTTTCTCCCCCTAGAAAGGCAAGCACAAGAAATTACCTTTAAGAAACCAGAAACTAATCCTAGATTCAGTCACTAAACTCCACCACACCACATCTAATATCTACAAGAACTATTGTAACACATGTAGGTGTAAACAATAACAAAGCATCATGTTAGAGTAAGAATCACGTGTAAATAATCAGGGTGGTCGTTGTGTTAAAGGTGCTTTAAGGGAAAATAAGCTCAGGAAGGGCCTCTGCACTGTTCTGGATGTGTGTGTTATGGGTACTGCAGGGACTGATGATACACTCGAGCACTTTATCCAGAACAACATGAAAACTTTGGATTGGGTTCTCACAGCCAAGTCATTTTTAAACCCTGCTCTTGATTTGCTTTTAAGCCTAAATACCACGTTTTTCCTCTACTAGTTATTTCACAAGACATAATAGAAAAAGGAACAAAGACGGTAGATGTGCCCCAACAGCAAGTATTCTGAGTTAGAATGAGTCATGAATCAGATTTAGGTTCATTTAATTCATTTTATTTGGAGGATTTTTTAGTTGAAAGTAGTGAAATAAATCTCTACTTTCATGTGGCCTCGCCGCTGGTTTCCAGGTCTGTGTGGAAATTCCTGAATGGTGCCTTTAAGAGTTTTTTCATGCTATCAAATATTTTCTGACAGATCAAAAGGCTCCGATAAACTCTGCAGGTTTTGCTCACGTGGATAGACCATCATCACCATCTACCCAAACCTTGGTGATGAATTCTAGGGTTTTTGTAAGAATGAGCCGAATGAATCACGACACGAGCGCCACGCTGCATTCTAGATAAATAAGAGGAATTATAGCTACTGGACAACAACTAGCAGCATCAACTAGTGCTGCATAACCACACGTTCACACATCTACCCAGAATTGAATTATGTAGCGATAAAACAACTCTGTCACGCTGTTTACATCCGGACATGTTTGTGTGTAAATAGCTGAATCTGGAAGTGCAGAGAGGCATGCTCCCATCACTGGTTTATTATATCATTTAATTAAAAAATATATAATTAGGTCATTTTATATGACTTCGTTTTGTGTTTTGCATCTAAAATCCTAGTAACTCAGTGTTACTTCAAAGAGCTTTAAACTAATTCCTACCTCGGTGTGAGGTAACCCAAAAGCTGGTGGAACACTGTGTCGGTACATTTATGACGTTTTGTTTTCCTTTTGTGGAGTGGTTTACATTTCAGACCTGCTCTGGGTCACTGACAGGTTTGCAGCCCAGGGACTTTTGATTGTGCAGTTTGAGCGTGGAGACGGCGTGCTGCTTGTGGATTATAGTGACTCGTCAAAACTTTAATCGGGGGGTGGGACGACAATAACCACGAGAGCTCCCAATTCGTCTCGTGCATTACTTAGGTTGAAATGAGTGTTTGTGCTAATAGTAAGAAATGATTTTCTGTACTTTAGTGGGTACATTTTAAAGCACTTCAATCAGAACAGTCAATATGTGCGTGATTGTCATTGCACACGTTCACTCTGTGTTGTCTTTCGTTAGGTTGTTTGGGCCATGAGGAGAGTTAGGCAGATTCCAGCTTTTTATGTAGTTTTTTTTTTTTTTTTGCCGTGAAAAGATGTAGAAGTTGCATGTTGTGTAAAAGCTTTTCTAGTTAGAAGTCTTGCTAGGCTGGGTACTGTTTAGATATTAGTTTTACTTAATTGCATCACCAGCTGTATGTTTTCTACTTCCACATTCTGTAGAATTCTGGGGTTCTCTTCTCATTTTTCGCCCCATCGCTGTGATTTGTGCTCGTTTGCTGTCGTTTTTTTCCCGATTGCATCTTTCTGAAATCCCCTACTGGACACACAGAACCAGTCAGACTGAGATGTCTGCTGGAAACCAGTAAATGTTTTGTTAGTTGTGCCTGTATCCAGATCAGTTTACTCTATATTGTTGCACAGTATTAAAATGTGAAATGATGCAATGCACTTAAGTTGTGTGCAGAACATAGAACAAATACCACAAAGTAAACTTCTATATTAGATAAAAACAAAACAAAGGCCTGTATCCTTTGGATTATTTATGTTTTTTGTACTTTTGCACTCACTAAGTTCAATTAATTATGTCTGATAAAAAAAAATAATGGAAGAACCTGAATATGAACGTTCTGGGTTATGTGGACAAAAACAGGCATTAGCACCACTCTGGTGTGAGTTTAAAGCATAACATTTGCACAAAAGTATCTAATAAAAAGGAAGATACTTCAACTTTCCTCGTGTACACTCACCCTGATACAAAAACATGTGGACATGTTGTGGTTGTAAATATAAACAAGTTGCTCATGAGATTAATGTGTCGTAGCTTCAGTGAAAAAGGAAAAAAAATATGCATTTTTAGTTTGTGACATCTGAGTAGGATATCAGTAATAATTAGTTCTGTAAAGTAGGACTTCTGTGTGATTATGTGCACAATCTGGTCATTTTTCTGTGGTTATTGTTGGTTTCTGGAACTTGAATATTTAATCACTGTGCAAACAGAATCACTGAAAAGCATATTTTAGATTTGTGCTGCTTTGCAGGGTGGGGTGGGGGTCCACCCAACGATTTCACACCGACATCAAATGTTTCAACTAAACTGAAAATGAACTAGGAGGTACACGTTTCAAATATATAGAACTTTTTTTTCCTCCTTGAAACAAAAATGTTTAAGTAAGATTTTTATTTAGTTTCATTGGTGTAAAAATACCACCATTTTATGGCATGGGAAAAAATCAACCTATGGGTAGTTTCTGGAGAGGTGTTTATAGATCTATAGATTGTCTAGACAATTTAGCAGATCTGCTCATGCTTATACAATTATTAGATCTTTGAGTAAAATTAGAGACAAAGGGAAGGATGATGGTTATTTAAAAAGAAGTGTTTAAATTGGGTTTCCATGGTAACTAAATGTAATTCAAAGAGAGACTACATATTTCTATGGATTTTTTCTTCTGTCGGCTCATGGGTCCGCAGAAGAACAAAAAAAAGAAGAATGTAAGTGAACGGGGCTAAAATGTGTCTTCTAATCCGCTTCGCCATTCACCCTGGATCGCACATATGTTGTACTTCAATCTAAATGAAAAGTAACAATGTGTGTTTCGACCACGCCTGTCACATGCTTTGAGTTTAATCAGCTTGTAAAAATTAATAATTACTAAGACTACAAATCAGATGTCGGCTTGTCGCATTTATGACATCACCACAGAATCCCCTGTCCCCTAGCTTAGCTGCTACTTATCACATGTGTTATATTCTGGTCTCATTCACGACAAACTCCAGAATATCTATTTCCTACCCAACGGGGTAGTAAGGTTTATTAACAAGACTTCACCAACATACAGTCTCTGCCGGCATCCTATAACGGTGCGTACTCTAAAAACGCCCGTGCAGCAACACAACACACTGCGGAACCAACCAAGCCAAACAACAATGCACATCATTACATCCCTTCTCTTTTTTTTTTTTCCTTCTTCTCACTAAGGGAGAAACAATATGAAACACTAACAGAACACAAAAACATTCCCAGAACACAAAAACATTCCACTATTCGAACATATGCATTTCTGCAACTGTAGTGGACATGTGTGTCCATAGAACACATAACTTCTCCCCTCAACCAGTAAAGACTGTCAAGTCCTCATTATGGCACATAGTCCTTGTACCGAAGTGGTGGAACCACTTTGCGGCCTGACCGTGTCCTGATACCCCCTGTTACCACGTCAGACTCAATCCGCTGCTCACGACTTCCCGACGGATCAGTCACTGAGCTGCTCAGTGCCCCAGTGTCTGTCATGGCATTGTCTGGATCCATCACGCCTGCATGTCTCAGGTGCCTCCGATTCCTCCTCAGGACACTCCCAGAATCCAACCGAACCTCATAGGACCTCGGGTCAACAGTCCCAACAACCACTCCCCTGCTCCAAGTGGAGTGGCGGTCCAAAGGCTGAACTCTGACACTGTCCCCAAGCGTCAAAGAGTCCATGTCACGTGCTGACCGATCATAGCACTCTTTTTGGCGCTTCTGTTTCATCTGCAACTCCCGCCGGGCAGGAATGACTTTTGGCCTTAGCAGGCTCGTCCTGGTTGGCAAAAGCGTCCGTGTTCTCCTGCTGAGCAGCCTCTGAGCTGGGCTGGTCTCCAGGCCTTGTGATGGTGTGTTGCGATGGTCCAGAATCGCCAGATACGGGTCCTGCCCCGCCAGTTTTGCCTTTAGCAGCAGCCTTTTCGCTGTCTTCACCGCTGATTCGGCCTTCCCATTACTCTGAGGGTAACCTGGCGAAGATGTTTTGTGCTGAAAATCCCACAGTCGACTAAATCTCAGAAACTCACCGGACGTATACTGTGGTCCATTATCTGAGACAACAAGGTCTGGGATGCCCTGTCTGGCAAAGTGGGCCTTCAACTTCCTAATCACTGTGGTGGACTTAGTGTCCGGGAGATAGTCGATTTCCCAGAAGTTTGAATAGTAGTCCACTGTGATAAGGTAGTCCTTGTTGTCAAACATGAACAGGTCTGAGGCCACCTTAGCCCATGGTCTCGTCGGGATCTCGTGAGGAACCAAAGTCTCTTTCTGCTGTCTGTAATCTACTGACCTGCAGATGTCACACTTAGTCACATACGTCTTAATTTGTTCATTCATGCCTGGCCAATACACACACTCTCTGGCTCTCCGTAGGCAACCTTCTACACCTAGGTGTGTCGAGTGCAGTCTGGCTATGATCTGTTGTCTCATGACAGTCGGGACAACAACACGTTCACCCCTAAAGACAAGTCCATCCTGACTACTCAGTTCATCCTGGAACGAGAAGTATGGTCTGATGTCACCGTCCATGTCTCTTTTGTCAGTTGGCCACCCTCTGTGAATTGTGTCTATGAGGGTTTGTAGTGCTTTGTCCTCCTGTGTAGCAATCCTTATGCTGTTTAATCTGTCTGGTGAGATGGGTGCATGAGTGACCATGTTAATGCTCTCTATTTCCTCCTCTATGGAGCCCTGAGGTGCGCACTCTGGAAGATATGTCCTACTCAACGTGTCAGCTAATAGCATGTCTTTGCCTGGCACATACACCACATCTAAGTCATATTTCTGAATGCGCATAAGCATCCTTTGCAACCGTTTGGGTGCACTCAACAGCGGTTTCCTTACAATGGTCTCCAAAGGTTTGTGATCACTGTGTACAACCACTTTACGACCATAAGTGTACTGGTGAAACTTCTCCAAACTGAAAACAACAGCCAAAAGCTCCTTCTCTATCTGGGCATAACCTTGCTCTGTACGTGTAAGAGCTCTACTCGCAAAAGCCACAGGCTTACCCTTCTGCATGAGTGCTGCACCTAATCCTTTGTCAGAAGCGTCACACTGTACTGTCAGCTCTTCCTCTGGGCAGTAGTATTTCAGGACTGGAGCCACTGCTATAGTCTCTTTCAGTCTCTGGAAAGCATCGTCATGACGAGTCGTCCAATTCCACTCACTGTCTTTGTGTGTCAGTCGTCTCAGTAAGTCACAGTGATCAGACAGATGTGGGCAAAACTTTGCTAAGTAGTTCACCATCCCTAACAGTCTCTGCACTGCCTTCACATCTGTCGGCCTGGGCATCTGCTCTATAGCCCTAACCTTCTCTGGGTCTATTTTCAGACCGTTGCATGTCAGCTGATGTCCAATGTACGTAGTCTCCTTCTGTTTAAGTTTGAACTTGTCTGCGTTCAACTTAATGTTTTTCTGCCTGCAACGGGACAAAAACTGTCGCAGCTTCTCGTCATGGTCCTGCACTGCTTCTGCTTCCGTGTCTCCTTGACCCGTGATCAGCACATCATCTGCAATGATGTAGATCCCTGCCAGACCATCCAAAGCTTGTGTGAGCTTTCTCTGAAACACTTCCGGAGCTGGACTTATCCCCATTGGCATCCTCAGCCATCTGTAGCGTCCAAACGGAGTCGAAAATGTTGTCAGGTAGCTCAACTCCTCCTCCAGTTTCACGTGCCAGAATCCACTCTTCACGTCGCAGACAGAGAACACTTTAGCCTTTGACAGATCCGGCAAAATGTCCTCAATGGTGGGCAATGGGAAGTGGCTCCGTTGTAGGGCTTTGTTTAAGGGTTTTGGATCTATGCACACCTTTAAATCCCCGCTCTGCTTTTGGACCACAACCATCCCACTTATCCAGTCAGTGCTGCATTCAACCGGTGTAATGATCTCTCTGCGCTGAAGATCTTGAAGCTCCTTTTTTAACGGCTTTATCATTGCAATAGGGACACGCCGTTTTGGTAACTGTACTGGTTTCACTGCTTCATCCACTTCGAGCCGTAACTCTCCCTCCAAACAGCCATCTCCTGTGAAAACATCCGCATATTCCGCCTTAATCTGATCTATGTCCCACTCCTTGGCTGTAGGGGGTTCTGAAGTAACGATGCTGTCCAGTTTCAGGATGTTTTCTTAGTGCACCTTTATGAGTTTCATTGCTTCGCTGGCTCTCTTGCCCAGCAGTGGTACTTTACAGTCTTTGTCAACCACTTGGAACTCCAACCGATACAGTTTCTGATTTCTCGGGTTACGTAACTTAACTTTGCACTTTCCCAATGGCTTTATCTTACTTCTGTTGTACATCATCAGCACTGTCTGTGAGTCCTCCAACTGTGTGTTCGGGCTTAGCATGTGGATTGGCATTACATTACAACTGGCCCCACAGTCGATCTGGAAATTTACCATCTCTTTGCCCATCAACATGCCTGCAAAGAGTCGGGTGTCTCTCACTTTATCAGTGTTTTTTGTAGTTGAATCGTGCGTGTCTGCCTCTGTAACACAGA